ATTAAAATGATAAACTAAAACAAAAGAGGACGAGTATAATGAAGTGAAACAAATATAGGCAGAGGCAGAGAGACCAAACCCACACAACAGTCTCTCACAATGACAAGCCTCCACAGCACTCATTAATCTGTCACACCCAAAGCTGCGTAGAATGCTTTGGACGGAGCTATTGTGCTTTATTTGGAAAGGGCACGAATGCTTTTTTTTTTTTTAACAGGGCTTCCTGAGAATTTTAGTTTTCAACCAGTAAATCACTGTTTTACTGTGCAGCTCAGAGAAGAGAGACAGAGAGACAGAATAACAAATGCATCTGTTATCAGACTCTGACCTACTGTCCAGGCTAATTAACAGCGACTGGTGAGACAGGTGTTGTGTTTTTGCCAGGTCTTTGACTGCGGTGCAACAATACCTTTTCTATGTCAGGGACCTTATCTTACCTAAGGCTAGACCCAACGCAAACAGAGACGCTGACATTAGACCCCGAGTGATCTGCCAACAGAGAAGTCAGACATTTTCATTTTCAGAATGATTGTTTTTACAGTATATGAACTGGAAGACTGACACCAACCTGTGTAAATGTGCAGAACGGCTTTTGAAGGTAAAAAGAAAATGAAGGTAGACTTGTTTACCTTACACAATTTATGTAGATACTTTTTTTTTCAATTTTCTACATAGTGTAACTTTTAGGTTTCCTCTAGCTTATAGATGTTATTGGATTGCTTTTAAATATTCTCTATTTTCTGTTGAGTTTTTCTATAATTCTTTTGTACAACAGTTTTTACCAATACTACAAGTACTAGTAGAATCCAGCTAATTTGTAACTCTGTATTTGCATCACATCAATACTGACAAAGTAAATACCGTTAAAGAACATCCATATTGAAAAAGAATGTAATGTGATTATATAGTATTCTTATATATAATAAAGTGTCTGATTTATTGTTATATGTAATTAATAAATCCCTAAATGTCAGATGTCGTGTCATAAACTCAGACACTGAACCCGGGAGGAAACCCGTTGTGATGACGGCAGTGTGAAAAGTCAGCACAACAGGAAACGCTTTAAAAACAATAGAATTGAATTATTTAAATACTCAATATAATACTGAGTGTTGAGATTGATTTACTGTGGATCCCGTGGGGAATTAAGAGTGTATGTGCTGCTTTTTGATGAAATGCTGACGTCGTCCTGTGGTCCACCTCTAATGTGTGTGTGTGTGTGTGTGTGTGCATGGCTGGGGAGACCCAGCTTTATGTTGTCTGGAGGGTAGCACATATGCTGCTGACAGCATTTTCTTTTCTTTTTTTCACTTAGGTCACACAAAGCTGTGCTTTATGACAAAAGACTCCTGTGTGTCGCGGGTTTAGTGGCCGACGCGCTTTTATGTTTAATAAAACATGGTGTAACTTGTTGTTGTTCTATGTCAAAAGCACCACAACGCAACAGGAAATAAAATAATAATCTCTAAATTCATCACTTTTCTGACGTTTTAATAAAGTCTACGGTCCATGACGTGAGCCGAAGTACGATGTGAGTCTCTTCATCAAAACCCAAAGCTCTGGATGCACAGATCTCAGAGGAGCCACAGATCCTCATTGTCCGTGCACAATGGTGGATCAATATATATTGTCAATAATGATCTCAATCCATGACATCAGCCAAAAGCTCCACTAATTACAAAGGTGTTTGGGTTACTTGAAAGAGACAACGACCTCTGGCTGATTGCACTGGTGTATCTCTCCCTCACACACACACACACACACACACACACACTGTTCAGTCATCTACATTAGGGCAGTGCTTCTCATATAGTGGGGCGGGCCCCCCTGGAGGGGCGCAGTGAGGTGCCAGTGGGGACGTGAGGGTCTTCCAATGGAATATGGCACACTGGACATAAGTGTACCACTGCTGTAACGCCGAAATGATGACAGGCCTCCAGTCACTAGGTGGCAGTGACTCATACAGTGGTTTGGGCAAAATATACATCAGGTTCATCGTTATCAGGTTATCAGGTTTTCAGTAGCATTTTAATTCACAGGGGTGTGGGCCAGGGGTGTGGGTCAGGAGTGTGGGTCAGGAGTGTGGGTCAGGAGTGTGGGTCAGGAGTGTGGGTCAGGGGTGGGGGGGTAATCACAGGAGGACAAACAGTGGGCTGTGACTGAGTGTCTCTTCTAAATGTCTGACTCAGGACTATGTTTTTGAGGCATTATAAAGGAGACAGGGCTACAGTGGTGCTGTGTGCCCTGCAGAAGGTTCTGGGTTAGATTCCATTTAGTCCTCAATCTCTGGTTGGCTTCCCCTGGAATGGACTTCTGGTGTGAAAGCTAAAATAAATGTGTTTTTTATACTACAGGAAAATGTAAATATATTTTAAATTAAACCAGCTGGGTAATAGTGTCAAGCCTGGTCTTAAATGGGAATAAATACACACACATTCAGTGTATGTTGATGTCCTTTCACAGAGCAGGTGTTATGGACAGTCTCAGACTCAGCTCTGGGAACACGCTGCTGACCTTTTTCCCCGATTCTCTTCCTGTTTGGCCGTAAGTGTGCGGACGTGAAGCCACTTTGTTTCCTGCTGCTTGTACTACGGCGTGTTTTTCTCCGATACCTCTGTCCCCCCTATTTTGGTCCTGTCCAGTCATGTTGCAGGTGGGCTGACAAAGCACAGCTCATGCAGCCCAGAGGCGGCCTTTGTCCCCGGTCCAAAAACAACATGTTTTGACCGTGTGCGCCACATCTGGAGGTACATTTACTCTTGGAGCCATTCGCCGCGGGAATCACATGACACAGTCCACTCGACAGCTTCTGTTTACGTGAATCAGCTTCTGCAAAACATATTTTTGCAGGAATAAAAGCAAAACAAAAAAAACCGTGCGGTGATTGTGAACTCCCCCCGGGGGTGCACTGGCAGTGCCAACGTGACGTGGAGGGGCAGGTCTCGCTTTAGTCAGCAGCTTAAAAAACAAAAGACTTCTTTATAGCAGCTATAAATGTGTTTCTCCTGACACATTAAAACTGTCTTTGGCCTCAAGACTCCATAACTGTTATCAGAATGTAACAAATGGACCTAAAACAACTGAGTCACGGTGATTAAGTTGTTGTGGTGGCACCGGAGAATGCTGCGAAATCCATTTCTCAGATTCCCATTTATACAAAGAAACTGCTTAATTACTGCAGCAAACACAGTCTGCATTACTCAGGGATGATTATTTCATAATTAATATGACATTCCCCACTCTGTGGAAAACTGCTAGGATTTTAATGAGAAGACCCCTAAAATGTACTGGTGCAAAAATAGCACAAGGTGATAATGAAATTAACACTGTGAAACCATGCAGGGTCTGACAGCCGGCTTCGCACCTGCAGCACGGTCCAATCCCTCCTGCACTAAACCATCTGGAAATAGAGAGGTTTTTTTCTGTGTGTGTGTGTGTAATGTATGGATGGGTCAGTGTGTCGCTGCATGCAGCAGTGCCAGGACCAGAGCCCCAGAGCAACAGAGCAGAGCTAATACTTTTACTGTCGGCTCTATTCTATGTATTACTACCTCTACTCTATCTCTTGTGCAAATAAATCCCAGAGCACACAAAGCTGGTTTGACCTTCCTGTGTGTGTGTGTGTGTGTGTGTGTGTGTGTGTAGGAGGGAAGAAGAGACGGTGAAAAAAAGTTGCGATATTCCCGTCTCACTGCGGGGAAACTGCCAAATCAAAGACCAGGAGGGGGCACTGATCTCAGTCTCCCAGTGTGACGCTGAAGGTGTCTCCATCCTTGAAGCCCAGTGAGAGAGCTGTGAGGACTCAGGAGGCCTTTTATGTTCTCCCCATCATTAGCTCTCCACAGCGCAAACCAAGAGCGGGCTTTGAAATAGGATGTATTATTTTTTTCAAACTTTAGATTTTTGGGGATTTCTTTTTTTTTTTTTTTTAAATGCAGAATAATTTACCAGTTTTTCTGTTTTCTACATGTCATCTATCACATTGTTTCCCAAAGACTGGGTCGCGATCCTCACGTGGGTCACTAGAGTTTTTTGGGGGGGTCGTCTCGCATCATGTTTCACTCTCTAACTGTGCATCTCTTCATTCAGTTGAAAGGGTTAATGCCACAGCTATTCCCATCTGTTGCTAAGGAAGTATTGCCTGTTGTGCAGGAAGCAGGGAGAGCACTTTCCTGTTATGAAGAAAGGGGTTTTAAAGGCTTGCATTCATGGAATCATGCAACAGATATTGTGCCAGGAAGCTCAGCCAGTGGCAAAACGCTACAGTGTCCTCAACTGTTTTTGGAAACTTTTGGGATCTTTTTCAAATGCGCGGCTCTTTGCTGCAGGAAATATTCCGTGAGCAAAACATGTTTAAGGAAACGCTCTGGCAAAGCGCCGCTGTATTTCTGTTTGGGATTCTTTCAGTTCAAAATGTTGTTCGCCCTGTACACCAGGCCACGGCTCTGGTCAAAATCCATGTATTAAATAGTTGGAGTTGTACTTGTTGACTCTGTTGTCGAAGCAAAACTGTTCGCCAAGGGTTGATTGTTGGCCCTATATAATACAATCTAATAATTTAAAAGCATAATATAAATGTCTGTTGTTATGCAGATGACTCCTATCTATTGATGCATGTCAATAAGATAAAGCAGATAAGTGAAAAAAGTGTCCTGAACACATCCATCCTGAACACTGTACCTTTTAGTTTGTACTAAAGTAAACTAAAGGTTTTTGTTGTTTTTTTTTAAATTTTTTGTTTGTTTGATTTTGCTTCTTGTAGAGACATTATTTATATATGCATACATATGTATAAATGTAATATATTGTATAAATGAGTCAGGTTGTACCCTATTCTACCGTATATTTGCAAATAAAGAAGTAATTATTGTCAAAGGATTTAGTGAATTGAATATAAAAATATCTTGATTCATGTCAGGTCTGTGCAGCGACTATTGTGCATTTAAAAAAAACAGAGAAAAAAAGAGAGAGTGACTTTAGCTGTGGTGCTGTTGTAACAGCCTACAGTCCTGCCTCAGGAAGCAGCAGCAGCAGCAGCAGCAGCAGCAGCAGCTCCTGCTTCCAGCGCACCAGTCTGCTCAAGCATCCGCTGTGGAGAGATGCGCTCAGGCTGCAGTCTACACCGCAAGTAGATTTCCACTGGAGAAATCGACCGATCAAACAAACAAACAAACGAACAAACAGGCAATGAGATGGTATTCATTCAATTCGACTCTGCAATCGGATTTTCCTGCAATGTGTTCGCAGCCTTGGAATAATTGAGCGCGCGTCGTTTGGAGGGTCGGTGCGCGCAGCCATGAGGATAACTGTCGTGTCCCGTGGATGATGAGGAGGATGTGGTCTCACGATGAACGCAGGTTGTCTATGGATTCATTTTATTTACTTTCTATTAAAGCAAAGTTAAATGTTGTTCAGCACGAGTTCTGATCTATTCGTCAGTTAAAAACGTGTCTAAAACAGGTCGTATGTTCATTTACCGCTATTGGTCGCGATTAAGTTTGAATTCTTACCAAATAATTATGAATATAAAATGTTCAGTCGCAAATCTAACTGTCCGTCTGTAGGAGTGACTTTGAGTTAATTGGGAGCAATTATGATAATTAGAAAACGAATTGAAATATAACTTTAAGTAAGACATATATTAATATTTGTAACATAAATCAACTGTTGAGATATCAATGATAAAAACAATTCTATTCTCCATGATCATAAATGCTTTGGTTCGTTGTTTCCCAAAGACTGGGTCGTGACCCTAAGGTAGGTCGAGAGAGTTTTTTTTTTTTTTTTTGGCTCGTCTCAACAACAATGTCTACTGACTTCTGGTCAAAATACGGGTCCCCAGAAAAAAGGTTTGGGAAACACTGCTCTAGTTCATACAGCTGTATAAGTTGTCAATGCTTGGGGAAAAAAATCTGATTCAGATTACAGAGTATAATCTGTAAGAGTTTCCTACAGAAGGTCACATGACTTTGAATAGAATACTTTTCCACACGTTATTCAACCGTGTGTAATTGACAGATGACGTTTCAGGAGCAGGACACCACCTCAGTCATATCCTGTGTTCTGGGTACGGCCACTGTCCCACTGTGTGTCGCTTCCTTGTGTTTCGTAAACATTTCTTTTTTATTGAATTCCCGTTGCATAATTCATATCCTGTTGTTTGCAGTTGGATGTTGAGTCAGACGGGGACCCTTATTTTCGCTCTCTTTCAGTTTTATTGTTCTTTGAGGCACTCCAAAAGACCTTTGGTGTGTGCGAGTGCATGTGTGCGTGTGTGTGTGTGTTTAGTGAGAATTAGAGAAAGAATGACAAGAAGGAAGTCCATTTGTGTGTGCAAAAATGCACACTCCTGGAGAGATTCATGGAGGAGTGATGAGGGGGCCACGCTGTTAATGTCCTTCCCCTCTGGACATCCTGTGTTGAGCTCAGGAAAGGGAGTCTAGTCCTGGAACTTTTAAAGGGACTACATGAGAAATTTAAAAGTGAAAATATGTAAGGCTCCCAAAAATGGCATAATAAAGTAGCTTTTCTTATAATTTATACTTCACACGGTGCCAGAAAAGGAGAGGGAGAGAGCTCAGAGCTCAGAGACAGACAAAGTGCAGACAGAGTTTAATAGGATGTGCGTCAAGGCAGGTACAAAATAACAGGAAGACACGGGGTGTACACGCTCGTTTAAGTACGGGCGTGTTTCATGACAATTTTAAGGGTCCACTGTGTAACATTTCAGAGCTGTAAATGGCAGAAACTACCTGCGAGAACTTTTGTATGAATATAAAAAAGGAGGTTTTAAACAAATTATTTAGTTTTAATAAAGTTATGAGTGTGATGTCTAAAATAAATTATGATTTTTTTCAGAAGAAACTCAAAAAAGGATTAAGAGATAGCATGGAGAGGTGGTTCGCAAAATCAAATACAAACCATAAGGTCACTGGTTGTTGTCCTGCTTCTGGGTGGATTTGTCATCAATTGATTGGTTAATATCTTGGTTGGTGTACGCTTATGTTTACAGACTTTTACTATTGGATTAATACTTATATCAACAATCGCTTTTTTTTTTTTTCATAAGCCAACGTCACCTCTTTAAAATTGCCATTCTGCAAGAATGTTTTCTGATGAGAAATATCAAAATATTCATTCAAATAGAAGTGATTTACACCCAGCTAGGTCGCCCCCTACTGATAAACTGCTACCTCTGTACTACATGCAAAGCTTGAGGTGAAATATAAAGTTTGTCTTCACATGTAAACAGAGTCTATCAACCGGGAGAATCGTTTAGTCAAGGATCATGGACTCTTTAAAAATGAGATCAGTTGTTTTTCCCAATCCTGCTACAAGAGAACAACATTCACGTATCACTTCCCAGACAGGGAGATGTTATTGTTCCTGCCGTAGAAGCCCAGTGACTCTGTTGTTTTGCCTGCTGATAACATCCTCTGCAGCATTCTGTGTGCCACTGACCACTGTGCACTTTAGGGCTTCCTCTTTGTTTTCTGTCCAAAAATAAAAGCTCAAGTGTTGGAAAAAAATAGCTAAAATATTTAAATGAGATGAATCTGGTTTTAATTACTATTCTTTTCTATATATTTTTTTTTTTACAGATTTTCAGAACCCTCTAGATTTCCCTCAGCCAGAGGCCCGCAGTCACCTGACCATCAAACTACAGTCCAATCTGATGTCCAGGCCGTGTCCCCTTGCCTGTGGTCCAAAACCTCCTGTTGCCCCCAGGCCAAGACCCCTGCAGGACTCCTGTCCAGAAGAGGAGGATCATTGTCATTCTCTGGGACTCTGTAATGGTGACCTGAGTCATTCTGATGGGGAGGCTGAAGAGCTCCATGACATGGCAGAGGAATCTCTGGACAAAGAGGGAAAAAGTGAGACTAATGGAACGGGAGAACTTAGCGGCGAGGACATGGGAGACAGTGAAACTGAAGGAGAGACACAGACGGAAGGGGAAACACGGGAGGATGACGGTGATGTGGACAGCCTCAGCTCTGAGGACACAGTGAAAGGAGATGATGGCTCTGTTATTGAAACTACTGAAGATGAAAACACTGACAATGATGTAAACCTGTGTGACTACGGAAACCTCAGTGACGACGACAACACGTCAACGCCGTCCCTCCTTCTTACTGAAACGGAAGACGAGGCTGCTGAAGAAGAGAAGGACCCCGAGCAACAGAGTTACAGTAAGAACTGCTGTGAATCTCCAGGTCTGCGCAGTGACAACGATGCAGAGAAAAGCCAAACACAGTCAGGCAGCAGTCAGGCTGACGTGGACGGTGATTTTGAACTTCTTGAACCAGACAAAAACATGTGCAAGGACTTTAAGACTGAGCTGGACGCTAAAGGATTAGCTTTTGGAATCTGCGTGCTTCCAGCTCTGACTGAGGAGTATCCCTACGATGTGATTGGCCTCGGGGATGACGCCAGCGATACGTGTGAGCCGTGTGATCCTGCTGTATCTGTTTCAGGGGACACCGAGGTCTGGCAACCAGAGCGGGCCACCAAAGACCTCTCCGGCTGCTTTCGATTCACATCCAGCACAGAAGACGTGTTTGGTCCCTACTCTGTCATCGAAGCTGTTCCCGTGGACATGACCATCACGGCTGACCCAGAGTGGAGTGTGGACAGCACTGATGACAACCCTTCAGATGAACTTCAAACGCCCAGTGCTTCCAACCAGGAGCCTTACTATGTCTCAACAGATGATGTGGACCAGCTGGACAGCAAACAGATGCTGTCAGAGAAGGACAAGACTGTCGATGGCACTGATCAGTCGAATCAGCACAAAGGCATTGAGTCAGCTGATGAGTACGCAGACATTGACGATTCCCTCTGTCCTAAAGAAGATGACACAGAGCAAACAGGAGGTGTCTCATCCGAGGATTATGTAGAGATCGGTGACGAGGACGAGGACGAAGAGCCAGAGAAGAGACACATCAAAGGGAAAAGTGTGAAAGAGAGAACGGCCAAGAGAGACCAGGCCTTTAACAGCAAGAGGGCAAGCTGTCAGCCTCGGATCAGGCTGTGTAACATCACAGTGCCAGCAGATCTAGACCTGGGCCGCACCCCGGAGCTCACCAACAGAGTGGTGTTCGCCCACACTACAGAGGCCTTTGAGGAAGATATAGAGGAACTTGACTGCCATATTGTGCCTTATTATGAAGACACTGACTCTGATAATGAGGAGCATATTTATGAGGAGGCGGGGTTTGATTCAGAAGGGGAGAACTTTGTTGCACTGGACAGGAAATCTGTTGTCACACGCTCACGTTCTTACTCTGGGAAATTTCCAGGTTATGTGCCCGAAACTGTACCTGAAGAGACAGGGACGGAGTATCAGACCCATGACTACTGCACCGTGGCCTCGGATAAAAACAGTGAACTCCTCAGTCCGTCACAGCAGCCTGGGGTCAACAGTTTGATTCCATCTGTAACCTCTCGCCGTTTCCTGGTGTACTCCCAGCCCGCAGATGGACCAGAACTGTCCTCCACTGTACCCTCGGAGTTCAAACGATCTCTGAATGAGATCAGGATCAGAAGGAAGGATGACACACTTTCCCTCCCTTGTGTCATAACTTCCTCTGGAAGCTTCTCCCAGCGTAGCCATCAATCGTCCAGTGGTGTTTCTACACCAACTTCTCTTGTGGACATCCCACCACCCTTTGAGCTGGCATACATCACCAAAAGACCAGTCACCAAGAGTTCCCCATCTGTCTTGATCCAACATGAGCCAAGTGACGATTTGAAGAAAAAAAAATCCTCCTTTAAAAGATTTCTGGCGCTCAAGTTCAAGAAGAAAACAGATACGAAAGGTTTCAGCGATGTCAGTGTCCGGTCTTCACGTTCCTCCTCTGAATCCAGTCATCACGGCCCAACGAGAGTTATAGAGCTTGATCGCAGAAGCACCGGCAACTCGCCTCAACTTCAGTCACATATCAGAAACTGTCAGCAGCGTTCCTTGGAGCTGACACCGACCTTTGTCCACGACAACGTCCTCCATAAAAGGAAAGGCGATCCCAGAACTTACAACAAGGGTGTTTCTAGAGTGGAGTCTTTTGAGGAGCGCTCACGCCGCTCTGTCATGCCGCTGCCTACGACCAAACCCCGCTCCATTTCCTTCCCCAGTGCAGACACCTCAGACTATGAAAACATCCCAGCCATGAGCTCAGACTATGAGAATATCCAGATCCCGGGCAGGCCTACGAGATCTCACACAGTCACTGAGTTTTTTGAGAATCCAAACCGAACCACAGTTGCCTCCAATGAAAACGATGGTTATGTGGATATGAACAGCTTTCCTGGAATTGACAGCAAACCCCAGACTTTGGAAAATGACACAGAAAGGTACAGTGGTATTTTAAATATGATTTAATATTCCTCTGCACCAAGCATTAAAACTCTGCAAAGTCACCAAGCACATTACCACCGTGGTGACCCCTGATGAGAGCAGAGGTCAAACCTGGTTCAGGCTGAACATTACAGTTCACTGTGTTCTAAAATGTCATTTAATCACGCCATGTCAATCATATCTACCTTTTAGGCAAGTTTATACTGACGTTTATGTTTATATTCTCAAATCACTCAATGACAACGCAAATGCTACAACACTTCTATTCCTCACCCATCATAATGAAACACAGGATTCACTACACTGTGTACTTCAGGTCAGGGCTACAGATGACATATACCTAACCCAGTATATCCTGAACCTGCGTGTGTAGTAAAACAAAGATCCAAGTCATCCAGGACCCAGTTAGTCAATAATAGATTAGCTGCTTGTTGGGAAATGAATAGAGCCACCTGTTCACTGGCCCTGGCTCAGACTCACTGCCTCTGGACTTCAGGGGATTTCATTTTTTTCCAACAATCAAGCTTAATACAAAACTTTAGGTTTTGTATTTTCAAAGGACTTTTTACCTGGTCTTTTGTCCTCGCAGGACTGGTATGGCCGACAGATGTCCTCGCTGAAACTGAACCTCACTTTAACCTGTCAAACCCTGAAAGATCTGTGTGTTTTTGGCCAGTATTGAGTGAGAGATAACCAAATTGCCAAACGAGTCAACCACAGCTTTGGGAATATGAACAAAGGCGGAGTTTTCTATTTTTTTCATTTGTAAGATTTACAGACCACATCTGGTTCCACTGCTGCCTATTGTGAGTCTGATGTGATAGAACAGATAACGACCCATAGGTGGCCCACTAACAGCAGGTTACTCACATTAGAGAAAGTAATTATGGACTGCAATTAAAAGTGAAAATATAGAGAGGGGTTATTTTAATACAAGGAATCTGTGAGAGAGGGATGGGAGAGGATGTGATACTGAAGGAAGGAACGAGTGCGAAAAGGAGAGGAGGAGGGGAGTGGGTACAGAAGAAAGGATGGAGGACCAGTTATTGCTCTCTTGTATCTGACACTTACGGTTAAGTTCAGGAAGGCTTTTATTAAAGTAGCTTTCCCCCAAGTGCTCCTCTTTCATTGGACCCAGGAGGGGCTGCAGGATTTACAGCAGTGTGTGATAGAGTGAGGAATCACCAGAGTCAGGCCGTTCCAAATTACCCTGTCCTCTGCTACAGCTCCAGCCACTGTGGGCCGCAGACTTCCCCCAGTGTTAATAAAGAAGTTGTGTTTCATGACCTGTGTGTAGTCAAAGAGATTGGCCAATACCAATACTTCCTTTTAGGGCTTTCAAATAATCTGGGGCGAAACGCTCCAGCCTGGGTTTGCTTTTATTTCCTGCAGAGCCTTTTCTCCATAACTCAGCCCAACCCCACTGTTTCTTATTTCACCGTTTTATTTTTGCCCGTGTAATATTTAGCTCAGTTGCAGTTCGTGTAATTTATGAGACACTTGCACATAAGGCTTTCAGTTACTTCCTCACCAGGATTCTACGGCGGGGGTTTGTGTCCAGTGTTTGAGTTCAGTGTTGTGTACTGATAGAATTTATACTTTAATCTCATCGTGTGTAGCCTCTCCATTTCCCATAGAGTGTCTCCTTTGAGGGTTGATTCTTCTCTTAGCAAATGCTATCGACGCTGCTCTTTGTGTGGTCAATGGTCTCACACACTGATGCAAAGACCTGATGTGTCCTGTCACCCGGCTTTCAGCGCATTCCCTCAGGAGAGGTAACTGTTGCCAGGGCCACTCTTTGGAGTGTCTGTCCGAGGGCTGCTTCATGCTGGACATTAAAAGTGAAGAGTAAATTTACGAAGAGGCGGGGTTTGTTTAAAAAAAGAAAGAACTGTAAAGAAAGAGACTGTAACAGATATTCATCTGCAGCTGTTTAGTCCTTGGTTGTGGAGGACTGTGGGTGGAGCAGAGCTGAGCTGAGCTGAGATGTCATGTCTCCTTGCCAGTCCATTACAATACAGATTAACCACCATTTGGTTAAATGACCACAAAAGGCCAGTGTGGGTTGCCAACCATTCTCAAATTATGGTTTTAAAAATGGTTACAGTTTAGTATCTACAGACCAGGGCTGTCAAATTTAAAATATAACATATATAAATATATTTAACACTTTAACCCAGGGCTGTCAAACATACGGCCCGCAGGCCAAAACCGTACTTGGTGTTTCAATCCGGCCCGCTTGAGAATTCTTAAAATAAAACAATACACAAACACTTCATGAAAACAAAGGCCAAAAACAAAAAGACAGACATTTTGTTATTTATAGGTAATTATGTTATCGTTGTACTGGTTCTGGCCCACTTGACATCTAATTAGGTTGTATGTGATCCCTGAACCAAAATGAGTTTGACCACCCTGCATTAACCAGAAAAAATTTTTTTTGAATGACTACAAAACATTTTTAATAGTATACAATTTTAAATTCATTCATGTGAAAAAGTGTTTCTGAATGATGGAAACAAAGAATTATGAACAAAAAAATTTTTTTATCTGCAAATATAACCTGTGGAGCAGGTCTCTCCCTGAGAGGCACCGTACACAGTTTACTGCCATGTTTAGTGTTGGGGCAGTGGTTTCACGGTTATATTGTTACCTTAAATCATAAAATATTAATCCCAATCATTTTTTGTTGCCACAGTACAGTTCTTTGTGTGACAGATTGTCTCATTCAACATTGTAACATCTCCTCACTTTACCAGATTTACCCTGGGGAGACTTCTGTTACCAAGGCCCCGCACTGGAGTGTGTCTGCGGGTCAGCTTCATTCATTCCTCTGATGCGTGTGTGTGTGTGTGTGTGTTGCCCCCCATCACTCATGAGCAGCATGTGCAGGTGTTTTTGTCTTGCCTTTGTGAGTAGATCGTGAACTCAACTATGTTCAGAGCTTGACACTGCCACTGCCTCAGACTGTTGAGCTCAAGATCTCAGTGATTTATTGAGAACAAATTTAAGCGTCACCATGGTTGTGGTCCCAAAAAGACACAGTGTATTTTTGTGGTGGTGAGGAAAATGACTGAATGGCAGCCAGCGCCGTGCACACAAACAGAACCCGGGGATTGGCCAGACTTGCATTTTTAAAGCAGCGTTACAAAGTCACCGTGCCACAGGCTTGGCTCGTTTCCGAGTGCGTGATTAATGTATAGCACCATTCAGACTGCACATCAGCACAGGCATTCAGGCAAAGCAAAGAGACACGTTCATTAGCAAGCTGCTGCAGTTTCCGAAAGTAAAAAAAAGGAAACTTACACTGGTGTTTCCACCAAGCGTAACCTCGGTGCTTGTTTGCATATGTGCAGACATGTTAACTTGACGCTCTGCTCTGCTGCTTTATCAAAAACAAAGTTCCTGCTAAGGATGCTGTCTCAGCAGAACCGTTGTCTCCACACAGGCACGAAGCAACAAATGAGTGCTGAAAAACAACAGAACCCATCATTTCTGTATTTTTGCTGCACTCGGAAACCATTAGGCGCTGTATGCTGTCAAATTATGGGGCATTTCCATGTAGACTAACCAGACTGTCCCCCACGAATTGTCTACCTGCAGCTTCTGCTCGTGTGTGTGTTATTTTCTGGTGAATCAACAACATGAACTCCACCGTAGAGGCTGTGGAGCTCCTCCATCTACTGTTCTGTTAGACTAAGTCGTGATGAGGGAGCCATCTTAAGTGTATTGTTGTACTGGGTTGTGGCTTTGTGGCAAGGCGGTGGACAAGGTGTGTTGTTGACCTGACAGGCCCGGTGCCAGGCACTCTGAGGTCATTGTGAGGTCATAACACAGGGGAGGAAGAGTCCGGCCGAGCAGCTACCCAAAAGTCTGTTTACAGGAAATGCAGGATGAAGGTGGGGCCCTGGTGGAGGGCCAAAGAGGAAGAGGTGGAAACAGGAGAGCAGATTGGATAAAAGGTGGTCTCAGAGCGTTGGGGTGGTTCCTGGACCTGTCAGTTGAACAACATAATGAGGCTGGTTGTTCTTGGCACAATAGTTGGTGAGGAATTTCTCCTTTCAGTGAATACTTTGTTTACCTTAAATGTACGGTTGATCGTCGTTGTTCAGCCGCACCAGGAGAGGAATCCATTCGAAACCAAGAACAGGTTTTAGTTTAAGCTCAAGAGCAATTGCTCGTAAAGGTTCTGAAAAGACAGCTGTTGAAAATGTATTCCATCAACGACACCACAAGCGACGTATCAACACTTCTGTGAAATTATTTTTAATTTCATGCCTAACCCTGAAAGTCCAATTTTCACAGTGCTCATCTTGCCACTGCATTTTGATCCAGAACTGTTAAATTCACATAGAGTTGCTATTCTTAGAATATAAAGTCTGCCTTCAAATAAGTTCTTGTGTTAATTGGATTGAGTCTGTGTTCTTCTTTCCCACCTGGTGTTGTCACTGTGAATACATTAGAACCTCACAACAGCCCTTTTACCTCCAGGTTAGAATTTACAGAAACTGTTGATGACAAGTTCTTATTTTTATCCATGTATTTCATGAAAACACACGTCTTCAGCAGAAAACAGAAATATAGCTTCTTCTTTTTTATCGATTGTGTTGTTTACAGTAAACAAAGGTCAAAAGATAAAGGTGAGCGCTTCTCTAGGACAAAACCCTGTACTTTAGCGTTAGGTCATAGCATGATCAGAATGAACTTTATTTACTTCACACCGTCACCCAGGAGTCCACACCAGGGTGACCTGTCTCTGAGGTCAACCATGAGTAATGGCCTGTAGCTGCTTTCCCCCAGCCCACCCGTTAGTGTGTGTGTGGGTGGGTGTGTGTGCTGTGTGTCTGAATGGAGATGAAGTAGATGAAGTCCACTGGGTAACTGTGTTAACCTTTCGTCCTTTAATAGTCTTCTGGTGTACACACAGGGGACGCTTTACTGCGTCAGAACAAGCACTCGCTGTGAGATTGAGAGGTCGTGTGAGTGTGTATTTACTTCAGCAGAGTTGCACTAAAATGACTGTCTGATCAGAAAGGTCAGGAAGGGGACTGGGTTTAACTTTATCCACTTTACAAATCAACCCGATCATCATCTTGATGACATTAAAGTGAAAGACGACGCTGTTCAAAGATTCACTTCAGTAAAGTGTCTCTAGGTCATTGTTTCCCAAAGACTGGGTCGCGACCCTCAGGTGGGTCGCAAGTTACTTTTTTGGGGTCGTCTCGCATCATGTTTCCCAGGAGTTTACGAATAATGTCTATTGACTTGCGACGCGAAGGTTTATGGCTTTTGAAATATGGGTCCCCAGAAAAAGAAACACTGCTGAAACAGTGGTCTGCTATTATTTCAAACACAATCTTAGTCTTAGTCAGACACATAGTCCTGTTTATGTACGAGCCATTAAAGTGTCTTCTTGACTTTTCTTTATATTCCGATGCAGCCTCACATACACCGAACGACTCCAATTATGCACAATTTTGTGCGGCAAACTACAGAAAAAGGCCAAGTTAAAGTGCTCTTTATACCGAGTACACAAGGACACAGTGTGTGCTGTGCTTGATGAAAGTGTGACAGCAGTTTTCTGCAGACTTTTACACAGAACAAGGGCAGGAATTTAAATAAGCCATGGGGATTTTTTTTTTGTTTATCTATCTTAGTGTGACGAGGGCTTTAGTTTGAAAAATGTCATTTATTTGGTGCATGCCATTTTAATTGTGTTAGACTGACACGTACTGTGTGTGTACAACACAATGGCTTTCATTGCTCTATATATTAAGGTGAACTGTTCGACTGGCGGTTATTGCTATAATCTAATTGTTCTCTTCATGAACCGTCTGATATCACTCTACGAACTGATTTGATGATCTACATCAACACCACGTCCATCAATTTTAACAGCTTTTTTTAATCAATATATTCAACTACATCAACACCACGTCCATCAATTTTTAATCAATATATTCACCAAGAAATAATTCAAAATGCCCTAAAAGAAAATGTCACAGTGGAAAAAAAGTCATACATAATCTTTATTAGTCTGATATATTATGTTATAGCTGCTCTTCTAAACGCGTGCGTTTATCCTGTTATCCCCCTGGCGGTGTGTGAATCAGGTCAAACACACTGAATGGGCCTTTAATGGACGAGAGGGCATTCATAATCATCGCAGGTAACATTTAAAGGGATTAGATGTGGAATGACCTACAGCAAGGTCTCCCCTCAGGTAAACCTGCTCACAAAAGGATTACAAACACAAACTGAGCCTTTGGTGACGAGAGCGAATCGAAAAAGAGATTACACTGCTTCACTGGAGGACGCCACCGGGGGTTTGTGCACGAGGAAGACAGAGAGAAACATATATTAACAGAGGATTTGGAATATTGCTTTGTGTTTTGAGAATATGTTAGTGTAAAGATAATATAAGACAATTGATGGCTTTTAACTATAGTGAGTTATTGGAGGATACGTCCTCCTCTCTGCCCTGTATTCCCATGGAGGTGTTCAGACTCCTCATGGTTAATGCACCGCTTTAAAGACGGCGTCTGTCTTCTGTTATAGACCATTAAATATGTATTCATATTCTCTCTGTTCTCTCTTTTCTCCTCTCCTCCAGTGCCTACACGGTGCCGTTTCCCATGAACCCTGCCTCAGCTGGACTGTCAGCCGATGAAGACCACGGCCGCACCTCAGAGGAAGAGGAGGGGGCGGCAGAGCAGAGTTATGACCGACAGGTGAGAAATGGGTGTCGGGGAAAACCGATGGAAAGAGCACGTTGTGGTTTGGACGGGTTCGTGCTAAAACCTTGTCCAGTTAATCTAGATCAGTGATTCTGAACCAATTTACTGTGGCACGCTCGTGGGTGCAGTGGGGAATTATCCAATTTTGCTTAATTACTTATTTACTGCAAAATAATTTGTCTTTGTCAATGTGTCAGTGACAGGCAGAACAATTAAATACTCCTCCAGTAGGTGACAGCACACTTAAAAAAAAGAAAGAAAAGAATCATTGTGTGTGTGTTTCTTCAATTCCTGCAAGTTTATCAGTGTAGTGTTCAACTAAACAGCAATCTGTTTACTTTTGAAATAAAAAGTATGCATCCATTCCCGGTATTCACGTAGATTCAACACATACATGTAACACAGGTGAATAGTGCTGAATTGACACGTTTTTACAAATGTGTTAGGGAGTCGTTGTTTTTGTGTCATATTTAGAAATGTTCATTTATCTCAGTTAATCGTGTCTAATTATGATAGCAATTAATCATATTAGTCAATCAGATTCATCCACAGCTACCTTGTGATTCATCTGATTCAAATTTTAATACAATATCAACTAATACTTTATATTAAAAACTAGTGATGATTTGGGTCAAAGAGTTGAAATATCATTACGTTGTATATTATATATTATATATTATATTTCACACAGTGTAGCAAAACCATTTACTCTCATTGAAGTACGACACTCTTTTTGTTCTGGTATTAAGGTATGCAACTATTCTGTGTTTGTTTGTTTTTAAATGAACCATAAAACACTAAAAGAATGAGAATAGAATCATTTCTGTTGGCTGTTTGTTTTGATTTAAAAGGAAATGAGGATCGGTGGCTTTCATGTCGTGTTTGTGAAATGCCCAACGAGATATAAATAACACTTTCAAAGCACCAGAGGCTTCCTGATAAACCTCCCCTTAAAGGCTCCAATGTTATGTTTGGTCTTGGATGTTTTCAGGCCCCCGTGATTAGCCTCTTAATCAATGGGCTGCACTGTTGTCACCGCACTCTCTGCCCTTCATACATAATGCATCCACATTTAAAAGTACCATTTTTGAGTAAAGCCTGGTGTGTGTGCTGGCCTTCTAATGAAATAATCTGTCTTATTTTGACAGCAGAAATTTAAAAAAAAAAAAAAAAGAAAAACTGAACTTGCCGCTCTGCTCGGCTGCTGCATCACAACTCCTGTGAATGTTTGTGCAGAGTAAAGTGCCCACATGGAGGCTTCGAACATTAGCTGTGTTCATTCATCTCACACCACTCTGCCTCCCTGTCACACAGATTGATGGCCGTTCTCGAGCGTTCTACATTGCCAAAGAGCTCGTCGACTCGGAGAAACGGTGAGTGTCTGCACTCGAGGATTCCCCTCCATTCACACCCCGGCCTGTATTTATACACGCTAACCATGTTAATGTGCAAAGAAGCCTGAAAAGTCGGCCGTCTTGACTGGAACTTTCTCTCGAATGCTGCTTCTTTAATCTGATCTTCCATTCCAACCAGCGAACTCTCAGCCAACTACGAGTGTGTCTACAATTTAAAAAAAGTCAACCTCTTAACCCATCATTTAACGTGGTTTTCCCACCATGCATTATTTAATTTTTCAACAAGATGAATGTGGTTTTATGGGCTGTTGTAAAACTCCTTGTCTTCACTTGTTTTACAGACACGTGAACCTCCTCAAGAACATTCATGAGGTAAGAACGTGTTGAATGCAACTTTACCGCCTTCATTTTGTCAATTCAGCTCGTATAATAGAAGGTTGTTTTATGTGCATAGTCAGTACATCATTTAGTGTAGGTATGGATCAGAAGATTTGAGTTTAGTGTTTGTTAACAGTGATACTGGACATTAGGGCATGGTCTACAAAGAGACTCGAGATTTTCTCGTTTACTCCAGTAAAAGCAGGATAGTCAAAAATTGACAGCGTCGTTTAACTCCTACTGCTGGAAATAGCTACACGGCCTCAGGACCACAATCATTATTTTGTCTGTGCTTGACTGGCCTAGCTGCAGGTTGGATTATCCTGGTGTTATAAAAATACCAGACACTCAGACGGTGACGTCCACTGTCTGATGGCTCCGTGTCTTTGCACATTTGTCCCAACAGCCTAAAAAACAAATGTGAACAAAAGGCGATGTGGTCCAATGGTGACCTTGTCTCTTTCCAATTATTTTTTCTGGGGGGTGAGGGTGGGTCTTCCATGTATGAATTGGTAACCAAATGAAAATCAAGTCTTTTCACTCACTCGACATGTCCACGCAGGACCATGTCCCTGTGGGAGCTCGAAGTGACAAAGGGACGTTCTAACATCTGGAATTCAATTTTGATGATATCATAATTCTTTAGTGAGAAGAGAGGGGCAGGTTCGCTATTACAGTGATGGTTTCCCATAGGAATCAGACAGCTAGAATCATTGCACTCAGAGAAGCCCATCAGTCAGCCCGTACCTTACAACCTTGAATAAGGTCAAAAGCCGTATTCCTCATGTGTCCCCACCGGCTGTGATTTATGTGAGCTCGCCGTGAGTCCATACACAGTACAAGCAGCAGCAGCAGCAGCAGTAACAGCAGCAGCAGTAACAGCAGCCGGAGGAGCAGGGA